CATTTATATCTGTATGCTGCTTTTTAAGTACGCCACCGTCTTTAAAGTAACGTCTGTCTCTTACGACCTTACACCATGCGTTTGTTGTTCAACTAATTTCAGTTTTACTTGAACTCGACTAGTAATTCAAAAATGAACATCAAGCCGCATGAGAGATTATTATTATTATGGGAAATAAAATTTTAAACAACTTTCATATAGAAAAATTTTGTATACATTAGATAATTACCGAGATATATACTACTATACTCCGTACATAATGGACACACTGTATATCGTTGAAAAGGCCGAAAAATGCTCTATTTAACAACTTATGAAATGCAGGTTTGTGCCATTTTCTCAGAAAATGCAATAGACTTGAAAATTATTTTTCGCCACTAATTTCTGCGTGAAAACGTGCAAAAGTCTTATTAGTGAAACTCTCGGCTTTTGAAGAAGGAAGTTTATCCGCACAAAACAATAGCATGATTCCATTCGACCCCGAAAAAGACACATATTTTCCCATTACAGCATTAAAAGATTCCAAGACCCAAATTCAGTTCACGATAAATAAGCCACCCTGTGTTTAATCTCGGTATGAGATTAAGATAGTTTTGGGGTAGATTGTAAGGCGGCACCCGTCACTGTGCCAAATTGTAGACTTGGAACCTTACACCCCAAATGAGTAAGAACAGCCTAAGCTATAATACTGGTTTATTCATAATATTTACACGTTTATATACAAAATTATTGTCCTAGTTCTACCATTTGTTTACCTAGCTCAGCGATACTATTATTCTATTATTTGCATTTTCATGCCTTACTCAATTGACCTGCTTTATATCTATGCATAATAATGATGTCTTAATACCTACTTATTACATGAATTACTTAATTAATATTGTTTAATTTTAGATTAATCTGTGATTGAACACCCTGTATACAGCGACAAAAATTTATTTGAGTAGGTTTTATAAAAATGCAATTCAATGCGGGCTTTTATCTATACTTTTTAGCATGAGCATCACAGTCCCCGAATGAGATGCTGGTAATATAAATTACTGTGTGTAAAGATCCCGGCCAAAGTGAACCACACACCAAACACCTCAAACCAAAAATTCCAGATTCAAAGCAAACAATGGTCACGGTCAAATTACATAAACTCCAAAAGGATCTCTTACCAAATTTTGAAAACACTTGAAATGAACTTTGGGCACAGGTGAACAAAATTAATCATAATGAAGCATGAGACACTTATCTGAATCGTTACAGGGTTCGAACAAACACACGATTTCCATGATTTCACATAATAAAGACACCCCGCATATGCGTTCGGTTACAAATAAAAACAAAATCAATAAATCTTAGATTACTTACAGTTTTCGGTTACAAACCCCAATAAAAATGCGGGCACACAAAACACTAATTGCGAAAAGAAACAACACACTTAACCAAGACGTAACGCACAAAACTTGCTCTTCTGAATTTCTTTACCCAGAGACAGGTTGCAGAAACGTTGATTGAACTAACTGGCTGAACGCAAATACACGAACAATGAACCGAATGGCTGTTTGTACGTTAACTGTTAACGTTGGTGGCAACTTTAATGAAAACTGCTATTCCCAGCTGCTACGCAAATTTCTTTAAGACTTTAAGAGTTAACTCGAGCTTGGCTCGACTTTGATTATCATGCACTGACTTCTCTTTGACGAATCAACGTATTTGTTTTAACGAAGGAAGGCAAACACTTTGTCACCAATTTTAACGTAGACACGCGCATCTTCTCAAATTTCAAAGGACCACAACTCGGCCTCTAACTTGGCAAAACGTTTCTTATAAACGAACCGCAACTCGGTCTCGAACTTGGAAAATGGCTTCTTTTAAACGAATCATAACTCGGTCCCGAACTTGACCAAAAGACTTCTTTTAAACGAACCGCAACTTGGCCTCGTACGAAAAGGCCTCGATCTTCTACCGCCTTCAGTATTTAAACGGACTTCCCTCGAAATTTATTACCCAATTATCGAGGCCTGGCTACTCGATAACCAATCAACACCTTGCTACAGGACGCTTTCTATGTTACGTACGCAAAGTTTACCTGGAATCGAAAAAAACAATTTCCTACGAAAATGAACAGGTTTTTTTCCGATTAAAAGGCATCCATTAGATAATTACATTAACCTTTTATAAAATAAAAGAAACCCAATAAATCAAATTTGAACTGTCACAAATGTATTAACAAAACAAGTTTCAAGAGGTACGGCATGATTTACAAAGCGATAGAAAAGAGCGACAATACAAAAAGTAATTGGTGAGGGGTGAGCACTAATTAACTGCTGACTAAATGCTTCAATTCGAAATTTAGTGCTCTATTCTTAGAGCTACAAGGTTCTACTAGCTACTTACACGGGGTGTAACAATTAACTATGTCATTAAAAAGTTTAGATTGGGGAGGGGACAACAAATATAGATGATAAATATATATTGAAATTGAAAAAGTTACGGCAATGGCTAAATTTGCGTTTCCTTTTTAAATTTTTCTCAACAACCATGACATATAGTAAGATGGAATTAACGGCTTTGGTAACGTTTTTGTGTTTTTTCTTTTAGATTTTGTAAAAATTTTCAACGCGCACTACATTAGATACGAAAAAATCAGACTTCAACGAAATGTGGTACCTTTGAACATGGCCTTTGTAACGAATGATCGCTTTTTTGATTGTGTATTTCATTCAACATAGGGAAATTTACAAATAAACCGCTTCCTATTAAACGTGAACGAAAGTATGTCTAGGGCTAAGAGTGATAAACCTATATAAGCGCTGGCTCGACCGTGTTGCCAGTTCTAAGAACCGCTGTGACGGATAGGTAGAGGGGGTTTAAAACGTATAGAGTTGTGTGTAAAAAAATATCACGAGGGCTCGTCAGTATTGCCGAGTGCCGTTTCGACTGCGAACGTAAGATAATACAATTATGACTGAAAAATTTTATCCCCAAACCAAACTAATATGTTCAAACAAGGATGATGTAAAGAGAAATAGAACTAGTATTACACGTGGTCACTCGCGACCGACGAAAGCGCATTTTCTCTGCACAGAATCGGTAATAACTCGGGAAGAAAGTTTCAAACAATATTTTGTTGTTAGGCACAACGAAAAAGCTTAAACTGGAAGATTAGTAGTGATACAGGCCGACAGACAAACAGACAAAGCGCGGACAATACCGTTCATTTTCTTTTTGGAAAATGTACTAACTAGATCGACTCTTTATTAAACCCGTCCATATTCGGCCTAATGGTCATACAAAATTTAAAAGATTCAGAAAATTCGGCATAAATGAAATAGAAATCACGAGATTGAATTTTTTAACAAACTAGCTGATGAAAATGAAAGCGAGAAGGAAAATGCACTATGTCACGGTGAATACAAGAAGACAGTAGCTAATATTCTAGAAATCAAGTGAGACATCGGGGCGCCGCCAATCGCCATCGAGGTACCATCAAGTCGATAAAAGATTAGTTACCGGCGATAAGGGATTTAGGGGGATGTGATTCAGACTTTCCATATGTATAATATGATATACCGAATCGAAATTTTTCTAGAAGATTTTTGTTTGTTACATACGCAAATTGAATCTAAGGCTTTGCATCGAAGGCAAAGTGATAGTAGTGAAGTGTTATAAATCTGTTATCAATTTACGTGTTATAAATGTGAGTACAAATACGTGATAAATAATAATAAACTGTTATAAATACATCAATAATTATTTCACATAATGTAAATCATGTAATTAAATCTACATTACAATATAAACGATAGGGCAATTAATATACCAAGAGACAAATCGCCATTAGGTAGAAGATGCATCAACCAAAGAAACTTAAAATGGGGCAAAAACCAATGCCTAATAATGGTAACAGAGCTTTTCAATTGCTAATTCTAATTATTCAATGATTTGGAGTTTGGACGCCACTATTCTTGCCGATGTGCGACTTATTCACGTAGCATGTTTAGTTGCTGATTTCAATACCTTGTTTAACGTAATCCTCAAAATTGGCTTGGTTTGCATAGGGTCGCAAATTTCCGGTGAAAAAAGTTTTGTGCGAGTACCTAATCAGTGGGTTGTTTTGGTGTCACATATACAAAATATACAGCATTGTTGTTTTTTTATAGCACTTCCACCCTTGGATATCCAAACGTTGAAAGAAGGGCAGTAAATAAATGTAAAAAAAAATTGCCATATGATTTTAATCAGTTGTTTGTTCTAACCCTAAATTAAGCTGGTATTTTTTGTTAGAAACAACAGGTAACGTCAAACTTCCACTAATTTGTGGTTTAACGTGTACATCCCTTGTTTGCAAGACAACATGACTGTTTACTTATGCAGTCTTTTAAAACTGTTATAAAATATACGTTGAGCAAATTAATGCAGAAATAGAAACAAATTATTAATTACTTATGTCTGCAATGCGCTATAGTTCGACGTCGGACGTCGGTAGCCATTGAACTACCTATCCATGTATAAGTTTTTGACTGAGAAGGTTCCTATGAAACTATCACTATCCATACTAACGGTAAAAGATCAGCTCTGAATGTGGTTTTGAAATGTCGCATTCATTGTTTCTGCAAAATGGAAATAAATCGACGGAATGCTTCCAAGGGTAATCTACATAGCCACCCATCGGATGATTTCATCTTGTTAAACTGAAACTCCCAATTAAAGTAACTTCAAAGCTTTAGCAACAATTACATAAACGAACTTTCACTAAGACGCATTTAAGTTGGTCGTCAGCGATGCTACGCTTATTTAATATGGACCCACATTTTTCCTTTCGGTTGCTTTAAGGTATGCTAAGTACCGTTGAGAAATACTTACATATATTATCTTTGTACTCGTACTATAAGCAATTTTTATAACCAAGCCTAGGATTTTATTATTGTTATGGCAATTTACACATTCGGCGTTAAATTTTGGTGGAGGGGTACTTGTATAAATATTTAAAAAAAATAATTGATGGACACAGTTGGTTTTTGGTCTTCTACTAAAACTGCCTACAAAAATGAAGGTATTGATTGTGGTAAGTAGCACAGTATTTTCTTCTTAGATTTTTTACAACTCGTTCGTTTTGAAGGTTGCCTTGTCGTTAGTAGCTGTCGCTAATTGCCGACCCGATGTATCCCATTTAATACCTACTGGTAGTTATTTGCCGGTAGCGCCACCTTCTGGCAATTATTTACCGAGCGATTCGCCTTATGGATCAGACAAAGACGAAAAGCACGTATACTTTTATGGTTCCGATGAGGATCATTACGTGCGGTTCAAGGTTAACGTCGTACCAGCATCGCATAAGAACACCAAGATCATCTTCGTAAAAGCACCTGGATTTGGAATCGTTCCAGAAGTCGTCGCACCTCCATCACAAGCAGAAGACAAGACCTTGGTGTACGTATTGGTAAAGAAACCGCAAGATGGATCCATCAGCATTCCAACTGGTCTCGGCGTCAAGCAAGAGAAACCCCAAGTGTTCTTCATCAAATACAACAGCAAGCAAGATGCCGCGTCCCAAGTAAGCGCCGGTGCACAAGGACAACAAGTTGGGCATAGCGTTCCGGATTTGGGTAGTGAAAGCGCATTCGTAGGTACTTTGGGCAACGGCGCCCAAGCTAACGGACACTCGGGTGGTGGATACCCATCGGGAGGACCAAGCAACGGACAAACTGAAGTAAATATTCTTCCCGATGATAATCATAGCGGACCATATTAAACATCAATAATTGTATCCACACCAATTAATAGCATTGTATATAGTTAGTATAAATTTTAATAGATCAATTACAAAATCTCTCATAGAGAATAATTACGAGGATTCATCGCGACAAGATGTAAATTCTTCTTATTCTTATTATTCTTGGTGGTTCCGTAGGATTTTCTTCTGCATATACGTATTTGGGTATTACTACTGTAAATAATTCGGATGCGGTTAAGTATGATTAAGTAGAGGCACAGATATACGTTATATACCTATCTGTTTGTACTACAATTATACACACGGATGAAGTACAATTATCATGATTTTCTGCTCAGCGGTACGAAACATTTTCTCTCAGTTTGGTTTTCGGCGTGGTAAACAGGTATCAAAGTAGGATTGATCCTAAAACAGTAAGTAATTTGCTGCATTATATTACTAATGAACTGGACCTCATCATCGATATCATCTTCCGGTGTGTTCCATACCTCAGGAACACTTCCTGGCACATACTGCAGCCGTGCTTCTAGTCAGAATGAACACCTCAACCCATTTTGCGGCTACATCTACTACAAGCTATTCCCACTTTGGGTCCCCTGGGGCAGTCCAATTAAATCTACCGAATTTACTTCGAGTACCTGTGAAGACGCGGAAGTTTGAAGCAGTCCTACAGGCTTCAAATTAGTGGCGTTATATCATTCTACTGCCTCTCTCTACATGTCTCCGCCCCTATGGTTGACATGTCCCTGGAATGTAAATTATTCCTATGTTCAGCACTTGAATTCTGAGTGTCCACCGGGAAATTTTCCCGGTTGGGGTTTTCACAGAGAAAAGCCACTGCAAATATTGCAAACGCCTCTCGTTCAACATACATTATCAAACAAATTACGCAACAAATCGATCCGTAACGTTGCGTTGGCGTTGCACAATTGTATCATTCATACACTTTCGGCCGGAATTATAAAGCCTATTTAACTATGTTGTCAGGCTGACAATGTTGTTAAAGCATATTGTGCTTGGATGTTTTTTGAAAGATTAATACACTCCATTAATGTTCGACCAATCAGCTCGGTGATTATTTCAAATTCGACGATTTTTTATCTGATTAAAAGCTAGGTAGCCTTTTATCAGCGATTAAACAGTAGGTATAACTTTTTATCAGCGATAATAATTTTATTTTTTATTTATTATCCCCCTCTTGTTCTGGGTGCTTTTTAGAGGTGCCTCTGCAGAAGGTCTTAAGTTAGTAAATATTGTGGTTGTGAAATTTACTGTTTTGTATTAATCTCCCTAAAATACACTCGATGTTGGTTTGAAATCAGGATAATTTTATTTTTAATTCACTCAAATTTTGTTGCCTCCTGGAAAAAACTCGCGATCAAAACCATATAAGATAAAATCGTGATTTTATCACACTTTTGATCTCTAGTTTCTTCCATTGCAACAAATCTTTCGTATAGACATAAAATTATCCGATTAAAAATCAAGCTGTTGTATATTTACCCCCGAATAATATCATTCTTTGCAAATACATCCAATCACATGCTTCAACAACATTGTTAATAAACAACATAGTTAAGTATGGTTTGTAATACCGGCCGTTAGTGTATGTTCGACAGTAGAATAGTTTCTTTCAGCGGGAGCTAATAGCCTGCTTGCAGATTCTATGAAGTGCCCTTCCCCTGCATTAGATCTGCGCCAAGAGCACAGTTGCTGGCATCCGTGAGCAGTAGGTACGGATTGTTTGGAATGGCTCGAGCCAACACCGGAGCGGACGATAGTTTCTCCCTTAACGTCTCGTGCTCTGCTTCACGAAACGTAACAGCAGAGTGTTTCTTAAGTATGTTAGTAATTGTTAATAAACTTCCTATACCAGGAGCATGTTTGAACAACATTCTGAATCTGATCGTCTAAGTGTTGTTCAAAGGTTTCCGAAACCACTAGACTATCGCCAAAGTACAAGAATACTCCGCGATCGTCCAAACACGCACGAAACCGGTCCATCAAACGAACAAACGTCGAATTCCACAGTTCGAAACGCATCCTCGAAAATTGGAAAGTTCCGTAGGGTGTAGTGTTTTATGTCGGTGCTCGCTGGTAACCGGCACTCCGTCGGATATCCCTCCCCTCGACCTCTGCGTGTTCCTTTAGCAAAGATTCTCGTTGACTGGATTCCAGATTTGGGTATTAGAAAGGTCACATTCGGATCATCAGCACTTCTGAGCTACTTTTGTCTCGACTCCAGAGTCATAAATGTTGTGGGCATGCACCGATTTTGAAGGCGATCATCGATCATGGTGATCAAAACCTCTTCTAGTTTTATGATTCCATCTGCATATACCAATCGGGCGGAAAGCTTTTTAATTTCGCATCCCATCAACTTCAGAGTTCCGTACAAAGGGCTTCCGGCGATGCTGGTTTGTGTACCAGGATCCGTGATTCCGACGCCATCAATACCTGCAATGTTGACTTCCAAAAGCGGCCATCCACGGCGGTGGATCGCAACTCCCTCTGTAGAAACGCCATAGAAGTTCATGGCCTTGACTCCAGCATTGCTCGATATTCAACCCTCCGGCGACTTACGATCCCTCGGGCTCTGTCACCCTCGGCATAAATATCGCTTTAATGCCCTTGATACATAAATAACTATAATAAGATTTTTCTTCAATGGTGCTGTTAATTATCACACCAAAAATGTACTTTGTACACTTGCTAGTGCCATGTCAACCATTTCGCAATAATCGTTGTCATAAATTACCTTTTTGCAGTGTGTTTACACACCATTATACAGTTAGGAATGCATTGGGACTACAAATTGTGTTAAATTATGTGAACCCACAATTTTAATTCGATTTTTAATTTTTTTAATTCCCACACATTACAATTCACCAACTTGATTTAGTTTTGTTGTTGATTTTAAATGAATGTTTTATTTTCGCAAAGCGGGTTGATAATAGTTATTTATTATACAAGACGATAAAGGGATATTTTAACCATTGAGTGACTTTGACAAGATGGTTAGTTTTCCTTTATCGTCGTGTATAATACAAAACTTTAATTTATAGCAGACGCCATATAAATCATTATAAAGCTTACGACAATTCTGAATTTAATTTAGAGACATCAAAAATAGCAAGCTTTGGTTCAGCTGGCGCGATCGTGGCCATAGAAACAGAATTGTCATATACTCTGAACGTCATATCGTGTATAGAAATAAGAATGACAGATGTCATTAGAATACACACTCATCTGTTTTACTTTATCTACCCTTACGGTTAAAGTGATCACTTTATCTATCCTTACGGTTAAAGAACAGCTTAGCCTACTAATTCAAACCTATTAAAATATCAATTTAACGTATGCTATAAAATAAATATGAATAATCTCGCGCCTAGTCGAGGTCGGCGGTAGCCACGGATTGGCGGGTCGTTCTCGGTAGCCTCGCGGATAAACGCAACTGAAGAAACGGCAGTGAGAAATTGGTCGGGTCCAGCAGATGGCGGCGGTCATTTCGGCAAAACTAAAACAAAACTACGGCAGACTCCCTGGCGGGTGCGAAAGCAAACAACACAAATCGGCGGAAGCGGTGGAGAAGGAATTGCGGGAAAGCAAACAGTATTACCTCCTTCTACTTAGTGAAACGGAAAATAAAAAGCTCATCTTGAAGTTAAGGAATGGTAGCCAAAAAAGTTGCTAAAAGCCAAATTCAATGAATACGGGTAACTTATTGCAAAAGCACAAAATGTACTAGGCAAAAATGCAAAAGTTAAGCTCAAAATGTCGGTACTTACGAAACATAGCGGCGAAAATGCAAAAACAAACATGTACAAATTCATAGCGCGCTTTCAATGTATCGATACGTCCATTTCGAGTAGAGAGTATCTGGAATCCCATTTTATACGCTTATACCTTACATACTCCTACATTCAACTAAATTTTTCCTTTCCTCGATATCGAAAAAATATGGGACAACTTGCAAACATCTGGAAAAACTAGAACACATCACAGTGGCACGTTTCCCGACTGTGTCTGATAACGTTCACTCCAACTCATTAAGATTGATTGTCACTAATTTTGCTCACTCGATTTGCCGGACGGAAGTTTCGAAAAACGGAATTCTAATTTGCACCGATTGTTTTTCAGAATTTAAGTGCAATCGACGAGGTCAAGATATCACCTGCGAAAACTGCAACCTTAAATGCTCCTTTTAAATTTACGATAGAAAACAATACCTGCTAATAATGGCGTATCGTGTCTGAAATTCTAAAACATTAACTTGCCTTCTTCTCTGGGAAAAGAGCTTTCGGCGGCTGTAAAAATAGTTTAAATATTCCTACCGAAACGGGCGTTATCGGCTGTAAAATAAACAATTAAACACAAATGAAAACACAACTCCTCGTCTCCTAGAGCAAATAAGTAAATTCCGAAGCTACAATTTTTAGTAACAAAGCGGTCAGCTTAATCCGCTTTTAGATACAGGGTGTTCAGCATGTCTGGTCGACTTTACAAATATACGGTGTGGTCATAATTTTGGGGTATGAACGGGTGCTTCCTTACATTGTATACCGATAGCGTGTTAATCAGGATGTCGTGGGACACACAGTCAAGCGCTTTAGATAAGTCGATGATAGCTGCTACTGAGTGACTTCAATTTTCCAAGCATTCTAAGGTATTATTTTGTAAATTTTGAAACGCTATAAAATTTTCTTCCTACTGATTCTGCTTGAAACACTTCTACAATTTCTTAAACATTCTATAACGTTTCCAATATTGTTTGCACACCTTTAATTATTTACAAAGTTTCCTACATATTTCCTAAAAATTTCTTAAACATTTTCAACACTTCTGATACATTACCGGCATCGATATTTCTGCAAATTTCTCAACCTTTCATAACGAACTGAACCGTGCGTTTCAGTTCCACCTTTTAATTACTATTAGGTACTTATAAATGTAAAGATGACAATCTTTCATAAAGTCTTTACTGCATTAATCCCATCCGACGTTATGACATGGTTCGCACTACATTAGTCATCGATCTACAAGTACAAAGATCAAACATTTGATATTATAGAAAAAAAGAGAAATTATATGCAAATAATAGAAGACACCTACCGCTCTAACAATAAAATTATTATAACATCTTTAGAAACTGAAATTTCAAGTGCACTTTAATTATTCATTATATGGCCAAATCTACTACCAAACTACATGAAGAACGTGTCATATACTTTAAATGCTAAAATTACCGGAACAGTTCCTTCCTTTCGAATTTTATGATAATTTAAGATAAAGAAAACTTCGTCTATATAAACCGTTATTGTCTGTAACGTAAAATAGTGATCTACTACCTCTCGTGTGTACAATATGAAGGGTTTAATTGTGGTAAGTTGAGCAACATTTGAACCTATGAGCTGTTTTAACTTTTGTGCTCCTCCAGATTACACTGTCGTTAGTAGCGGTCGCTAAATCTCGGCCAGATGTATCCCATTTAGGACCTTCTCGAAGTTACTTGCCATTGGGAAATGTTCCCGGTCCATACCCAAGCGCACAATCAGAAGATCAGAGCCATGTTTACTTCTACGCCAGTTCCGACGGTGATTATTACTCAAAGTTGAAAATTAACCTCGTGCCCGCATCTCAGAAGAACACCAAAATTATATTCATCAAAGCGCCATCGCATCAAGGCGTAATTCCAGAAGTTATCGCTCCACCATCGCTCTCCGAAGACAAAACGTTAGTTTACGTACTAGTTAAGAACCCCCAGGACGAATCTGTTACCGTACCCGTCGGTCTAGGAACTAAACAGATGAAACCGGAAGTATACTTTATCAAATACAACAATAGAAACGACGCTGAGCCTCAAATTAAATCGGGTGTTCATGGCCAACAAGTAGGATCGAGCGTTCCAGACGTTGGAAGTGAATCTGCTTTTGTAGGAGGTTTGGATTCTGGAAGTCGCGATTTTGCGAAAGACGGCGAGACCAAAGGATACCCCACCGGTATGGAGGAATCTTCAGTTCTAGTCGATCCTGGTAGCTTGTATGGACCTCCAGATGAAAGTGGACCGTATTTATAAACATACATTGCTGGGATTACCATCTGGTACTAGCATAATATTTATTGTAACGAGGCCAGCATTTTTATGCAAATTTAAGTGATAAAATAAGAATAATTAGGTATTATATCGCGTGATCATTTTTATTTTATTTTCTTTTGTCGTAAGAATGATTGGGCCCTTAAAATTAGTCCGTCCGGCCGTTTGCACGATAAGTCAAAATGGTTTGATGTACAAAGCTCAAATTAAAAGACAGTCAGGCAGTGGCACATAAATAGCTTGGGGAAAAAGTGATTAAATTTTGAGCTTCGTGGGTTAACCCCCCGAGACAGGGTAGCACAGAATGCATACTGATGCTTTGCGTGGGTTTTATTAGAATAAATAGTACTATTTTCTGTTTATAGAAACATGGTGATATATGTCAAACTGAAGTTTTTTCCATGCGATTGTAATACATCTTGATGAACAATGCAAAGGGTGGTTTTTGTTTTTCAAGCTGGACCTGTGCTATAGTGTGCTGCTACACACATATCGTCGAAAAAGTAAGACTCTTAAGATACAATGTTTCAAGTTCTATTTTGTATGTATAAAATTACAAAATACGTTCCAAATATAAAATTACAATTAAGTACTTAGAAACACTTCTCAGCAGAAGGTTTTAGAAATGGCATCACTTTGTACATCACGAATACTGTTTATTATCGAGTCGTATTCTTTCCCAAACTGCGTTTTAAATTCTATGAGGAAATTGCTGATGTCCTCCTCTGTAACAGTTCTGTCAGCATACAATCCACTTTTAACCGCTGAGCAACACGTCTGAATTTTCTCGCACGAGGAATGGGGTTTCCACACGCATGTTCGCACTCCAACCATAGCATTTCCCACAGCTGTATAAGCGGAAATAAAACGTTGCTTAACGCTCCTATCAACGGTTATTATTTTGGCCATGTAGTGGTTCGATATATCATCAAGGCGATTTAGTAAGTTCTTCATACACTGAGGGTTAGAGGAACGTCGACCTTCAATTCTCTGACGAACATCTTTGAGTAGATTAGTTATATTTTCCAAACATTGTTGAGGCATAATGGGTACACTTGCTAATAACTCGCCATGTTTTGGATGGATAACTTTCATACAATCGACGGTGCTATCTGTATCCGATTTGTGGCACTGCTCACCGAAGGCACACTGTAAGAAATTACATTTTTGTAACTAGCAAAGTAAATTAATTAATAATTACGTGAACACTTAAGATGCCAATGATAACTGTAAGAAACCGCATTTTCAAATAAGTCGCACGAATATAACTAAATATTCATGTGTTTGGCATCTTATTATAAGGACTTCCTCTTATCTTACTCGAGGTCTAAACTCCAACCTTTACTTGGGATTTTCTGCTGTAATTTTTTACTACACTAATCACTTGTTATTTGTGAATTACGATTTACATATGTGTATTTCGCAATAATTGTGCACCAATCAAATGATTATTTTCAGAGGTTAAGGCAGAAATTACGGAAGCATCCAATGATTAAATTGTAAATCAATACATTTCGCGGGGAATTCCAAAAAGTTACCAAGCCCATCTGGAAATATACAGATATTTTTCAAAATTAAAAAAAAAACTGTTTATGGGTACCTATTTAAAAAAGTTCTTGCAGCTACCACAAATCGCTACCTATTCCGAAATATCTATTCCATCGCTGGAAACTGATTCCTAGTAGTCACCACGTGTTCAAAAAATTGTAATATTCACGAATATCAAATATTAAAATGCAACATTTTGGAATATTGGCCAACTAGGTTAGGGAGGAAAAGTTCAAAGATAGAAAATTCTGGTGAGCGTGTAGAAGACTATGGAAATACGAATATTCTAGATATCTTCAAGACTTCCCTACAACTTTCAAAACATCTGCAAGGAGCAGTGCCGCTGTGAGCTTTCAATGGAAAGTGGTAGAGCTTTCCAAAGATGTCTAGGCCCATTTATAGGAGTTTTTAGGATTTTCAAGATAATTCCAACCTGGAAAATTGCCTATATAGCAACAGACGTCTTTAAAAACCGATTATGTGAATAACGAAACTCAGTTGTTCCTTATCAAGACTTTCTACCCATACCATAAGTATACAGTGAGTTTTTTTTAAATGCGAACATAGGAGTTTGCATGCAATGTAATTTCCCTATGTTCGATTTTAAAAAAAACACATCAATCTATTGAGTAGTTCAAATGAGTAGTAGATACAATTGACAGCTGTCACATTTTTAAAAATACCGCCGTCCAATTTAATTACGAAATCGGTTATTGCTTAGAATGTCAAGGAGGACACTTCGAACATTTATTGTAATTGTTTTCGGTATTTATTTTCTTATTTTCTTCATTTATGTATCGATAGATCAAATTAGTAGAATACCAGGTGCACATGACCTACAAATAATTGAAGGTTGGTTCACAATGAGTTGTGGTGTCAGTGCGTGGCCTGTGAGGTCAAGTTATCGTAAGTTTAAGAAAAATGTATCCTAAAGTTACCATGGCCTCACATGGCTTCTTTAAAAAATCTTACCGAGTGCTCTTCATCATAAAGACTATAGAGTTGCTGTTCATAGTCACACAAGTTGCGCGATTTGGGAATGTGAACCGCGCACACCTCATAGATTGATGTGTTTTTTTTTAAATCGAACATAGGGAAATTACATTGCATGCAAACTCCTATGTTCGCATTTAAAAAAACTCACTGTATAATGCCGTTCCGAACCCTTCCATTTGCTCATGCAGAGCTTTAACACAACTCTTTAGAAACCTACCAGCACTTTAGATTAGATTTTCATCCCGTTTAAGTTTTTTCTAGAACTTCACACCCTTAGGCGCTTTCTTTCGGTGATCCAAACGCGTTTGGATTGTCAAATCACGTTCTTTCGAAATGTGATCTTATAATCATGATTGCTAAAATCGTGAACAAACTGAACATAAAAGTTTTATGATTACGAATTCCTAACCTATAAATGGAAGGATATTTTTGTTCAAATGTTAGGTTAGTCGATATTTGTAACTGAAGAGGAGCATAATCGTGCAAGGACTTCCGCTTGTATTTAAATTATTTTCATAATCCAAACCAAAAATACGTAATTCGAACGCAAATGTGGTCTACGTAAACTTAACCATACTTTGATTTAAATTCGCGCGTTCTTTCGTAAAACGTGATCCTACGAATCACGATTTTGAAATCATGATCGCGAAGTAGTCGAAAGAAAGCGCCTCTTAAGAAGCTATATGTTCCAGAAAAAACCTAGAAGTCTCTGTAAAATTGATTTTGATTGGTAAGAAAGGCTCGAGTTACGATATAAGTGTCAATAAAGAAAGTAAAGCAGTTGGAAGCTGGTTGTTCGGACAGAACCGTGAGAAATTGCACCGAAATTACGTCGATCGCCTGTGACTCACAGTTGACTGGTTTTTGTTTTTGTGAGAAACTCTCGTTGGGCCTCGAGCGAAGTAAAGTTTACCACCTGTAATATATCGCAGATTTTATTTTAATAATAATAAATAATCTTTATTGTTGATATGGTAGTATATACCTCAATAAAATGAACTACAACATAAAAATCACATATATATGTTCTATATGCAACACAAATCAACGCGAAACCCTCCAAAATTTCCTCTTTGAGTGCCCATTACACCAACCTCTCACAAAAGAGCTCGTTACTATTTTTCCAGATCGTGATAATATATTTGCAACATTACAAAATAGCAGTGATACATCTGTAAATATAATTGCAGAGAAATTGCGTGTGCCTACAGTAGCGAAGTTTAACATGCGTAAAATAAACGCATATCATTTTAATTGTGAATTAAAGTTAGGTCAACTTCACATTGATAATTCACGGGTGAAAGTGTAAAGGCCGATTCACATTATCGGTCACATGTCGGTCGGTCAATTATGGTAGCGTCTATTTCTTATAAACATGTGACCGCAACCTGACCGATAATGTAAATCGGCCATAAGGAATACATGCTATGATAATTGACCGCACTATCAGCGGACCGTGATCTGACCGTGATGTGAGAGATAGTGTGAATCGGCCTTTAAACACGCGAAATTAAGTTCCGTGACGCCTGAAAACAAAAAAAATGCGTTTGTTGAATTTCACATTGTACTCGTCGCATGTCTGTAGCAGTTGATTGTGTGCAAATATAGTTATTTACATTACATTGACAATTACAGACGGATCATATAAAATGTTCCATCAAATTAAAGGAGACATTTATTTTACGAACCTAGGATTTTGTATAAACTGTCCTTTTCAATCATTTGGCTCGTGTGGTGCAGTTCATTTAAAGCTGGACTGTAGTGCTAAGAGTCCCTGGTTCGAATCCGGGTTTGGGCATGGATATTTGTAAATGTATAGTGGGTTGGGTTGGTAGCGCAACCTTGGATGAAACCCTGCCCACTCAAAAATAAAATCAAAATAAAATAAATAAATAAAAATTAGTGGATCAATCAATCCTTCGGCTGCTCGGACGGTAGAAACTTTTAATTTTTAATAAGAAGAGAACCTTAACAAAAGGCGTCACTGCTTGCTTTTTCGAAGCTGTCACCGAGTGCACGTTAGCAAAGACGTTAGTTTGAAAACGCATAGCATTTTAATTGCCGCCACCCATATGTTATTAATTTTTGGCGACTAAATTCATTTAATTTAGAGATTCCGGATTTTTCCCGATTAACTCCGATATAGTGAGGATTTATAATTGCGGTTTTTGCTTCTTCTTTGTAAGTACGCCATTTGCAATTAACCTACTATTTCAAGTTCTAATTTCAAGTTCAAGTCTATTACAATTTATAGCACCAGTTTCAGGGTTCCAATTCAATTTTAAGTATAATACCGGAAACGTTTTACATACGCATGCGGGTAATCTTGGAGGGAGTAAATTCAACATCTGTGCGCGCGTACCTTTTGACTGAATTTCCATTTCTTAAGGGGCCACTATTTGCCGAAATTGGGTCACAGGGTCATGTACCAGATTGAATAACAAGATACGATTAATTATCGTACTTGCAATAGAAGCATAATACTACAAGTAAATTGTTCAGTTCATTGCATTCCGAGCTCTGCGACTTGGAAGTTTTTTTTGTTTGCAGGCTTGTGGAACCGGGAACTGAGCTCACTTCTCTGGATGACATCAAGATACATTAAGGTAGGCGTTACATTTTTATGTTTTGCGTCAAGTTGACCTATACGTGCGCATTGGTGTTCGGAACATCAATTTCCTTGTGGAAGTAATCAATATAATCGATCATTCTTGATTGGAGCTGTGTTAAACTGATATATTTCAATAGTAAAGTCAAGATAGGAGGATTTGTGGGTGTGTGACGTAAATTATAATTTTGAACATTTGAATACTTGCATGTTATGTTATCCTATTGGGGAGATAATTATTTTGCCATTTTGTTGACAATAAACCTGCATTTATTTTGGTACTTGAGTCTATGTATTATATTCTTTTTAATCCCTCCGTATCTTCTTAATTTTAGTTTTAGTTTTAGTTAGAAATTGTGTGGCGCTCAACCCTTGAAAAGTTAGGAAGATCAGTTTACCCAGTAATTTAGCGCAAACAGATGTACGCGTTCTTCAACCGTCGCGAAAGACTAGGAGCAGCAGCAGACACGATTACTCGCTGTCTCCGTATTTAAGGAAACACCAAAAAAACAAAGTCCTTCTTTAAAGGTTTTCAAATAACTCGCCAATTACAGAACGTACCAAACGTCCCCTCCTCCCCAATATGAATCGCGCAAGTCTTCTGAACACCTTACCTCTTCGTTATCAGCATTAAAACACGATGTGTTAATTAATTTTCGCAACGACCAGATGTATCCTACTTCTAACACCTTACGCAATTTGAATAAATTACAAAAATGATAAAATTTAAACAAAATCCAAGCAATTTCTAAAAGGAAAAACAACAGTGAGATACAAATAAAACGAACCAACTCTGCGCTTATTTCGTAAATAACCCCCAGATTTACCTAATAATGCCTATTATTTTTAACGTTTAGGCCAAAATAACGTGCATGACAAATTCCTAAAAAGATCCAAAAATCCCAGAAGGCTCCTGTAGCTCTTATGAATTCCCAGATAAAGGTGTAAATTTAAGGGTAGACCTAAGTTAACATAATAGTATATTAAGATACAAGTGTATAATCAAGTCTTTAAAGCACGCGCAACGAGTTTAAGGGCACGACGCAAAGCGGAGTGCCTTTAACGTTGCAAGTGCTTTAAAGACCAATTATACACGTGTATCTTATAGTATTTTTTATTATACCTGCAGTATAATTTAAAAATAGGAAATACAATGAAATCATATTGACGTTATACTCGAATACATGTCTAATTAAGTGGGCTGGGTGTTCGTAATTTCACGATTGCCATGGAAATGTCACTTGACGTTTACTTATAAAAATCATCGTCTTTATGAATTAAACGATTTCCATTGAAAAAGATAATACACCGTCCATTAAATCGATTGTTGTAAAATCTAAACAAACGTTGGTAGGTGTAAAATCCAACTCCAGTAAAGCCTATTATAAATAATATGAAAAGTTGTTTCCATGGATGAATAAGAAGTTACTTACGAATACAGCCTTAAATGCATCCATAATGCTGGCATATATGAAGGAAATGTCAAAGGTATTTAAATCTTCTATATTTTGGTGCATTCATTCAAAACTTTAAAGCAATGCTGCGATTAAAAAGTGGAACAGATTTGGAAGCATACCCTAAATTACGCGCGTTTGTGAAAGCTTCAACCAAAGGATAGGTACAAAAGCCAAAGAAATGTTCTGCATTTACAGAAAGCGACCTAAGAGGATTTTTTATTTCATCCAGATGACAGTTTCAAAAGTCATACTTGAAGTATCGTTACTTAGCAACTTTAAAGCACGTGTGTTTTAAAGGCCCTTTTTCGCACGCATTTGAGTGTTTAAAACGGAGATTGTGATTCAGGTATAATAAAAAATACCTTGTATGGCCCTTCTACGCTTCTAAGTATTCAATCTCGTAACGCTTCTTTTTTTTCCAACGCGAGGTTAGGTAAGACGAGGGTCCATGTCCAATTTTTGTTATTTATGTCTAAGACGATATTGTCTCGGTACCTTGACCTTAAAGGGGCAGTATACCCAAATTTCATGTTTTCGTCTAAAGATAGATTAAAAATATCCAAGAGTAACGGTGAAAACCGCAAGTCGCTACGCCGTTTCGTTATTAAATGGCAAGGTGTCGAATGTAAAAACGGTCGTGTGTGACGTCATCCCGACAAATGGGTCAGTGGCGCGCTATAGCAATATAGCAATATGACGTTTGACGTGTTTGAATTTGAGACTGGTAGTCAGCAAGCTGCATTATTTTCAAAAATGCCTAACTTTGTGTTTTCTGCTGCAACAATAATTTGAAAAATGCCAATGTTACATTGCAAATTTTCCCCGAGAAAAGAAGGAGCCGTGTCGAAATAAAGTCTGGAAAAGTAGAAAAAACCGCTGAATCATAGTATACCTAGTCACGTCGTTTACAGTGTCCACTTTAAAGATGATAATTTTTTTTTGGAAGATACAAGAAAGAAAGGACTCTGTGCCTCAGCATAAAGTTTTGAGAAGGGTAACAATACTGCAATCCCTTCTTTACATCTCACAGGAAACAAAGGTCCTAATAAAGCTATAAAACGTCAGTCAACTTATCTAAGAAAGTAAGATTGTGTCTGATTGCTTATTGTGGGTAAACGATCAATTTCGTAGTGGAGAAACCAGTTCAACATCAAACATATGCCACAATCAAACAGAAGAACTGAATCAAATGGAACCAATACCGCTTACTGAAAGCATAGGTATCCAATCTGAGCTGAGTACAGAAATTTATTGCAAATATTCAAATTTATATGAAGATATATGTTCGGATGATACTTGAGTAAGGTTTTCTTGTTTTTTTCAAAGGGAAGCGAAATAGAATATGAAAGAACTGACGCGTTCGGACTGCTTGGATCCGTGCCGCCGCACCCACGATGTCGAGATGACATCACATGTTCTGTCTTTCAAACTTTCATCGTTAATAATTTGAAAACTGCTCATCGTAGAAAACTCCGGTTTGAAATTTTGTTCTTAGATTTTCTTCTACAATTTTTTTGATTTTGAGTATAATACCTCTTTAAACTCTTTAGCAGAATTATGTACCCTTACGCACTTCTAGTTTGTACTGTCGCCACTGGTCCAATTGTGGTACTACGTAGAACGTGGAATATTTAAGGTCCTTAGAATAAAATCTATTTGGTTTTCATCTATATTACATGAAAAACACAAAAACAATTCAAATAAAAAATTACAACAATTATATAAAAACTAGCGTAGAATTTGCATCTCTTTGTACATCGCGAATACTGTTCATAGTCGAGTTGCATACTTTACCGAATTCAGTTTTAAGTTCGGTTAGGAAACTGCTGATGGTCTCCAAACTGACACTACTTTGAGCATACAGTTTACTGTTAACGGCTGAGCAACACGACTGAATTTCCTCGCACGAGACGTGAGGCTTGTTCGCGCATTGATGCACTCCAAAAGTGGCATTTTCAAAGGACGTATAAAGGGCAATAAACCGCTGCTTAACGCTGCTATCAACGCTTAGTATTTTCCTCATATGGTCTATCGATATATCATCAAGACGATTCAGTAAGTCGCCAACGCGCTGTTGGTTAGAGTAAAGTCGTTCATCAAGTTGGTCACGAACAGCTTGGAGGAGTGTACCTTCCATACAATGTTGAGGCCTGTAGGGCGGATTTTCGAATAACTCGCCATGTGTCGGATCAATAATTTTCATACAATCGTCTCTTGCTTTTGTCGGTTCCTGGCACTGCGTACCGAAGGTACACTGTAAAAGAAATTGTTGTAATTTGCAAAGAAAACTGATCAATAATTACGTGAACACTTAAAATGCCAATTAAAACTGCAAGAAATCGCATTATGATGTGGTTCCGAGTGTGGTTCAGATGGACTAACGCAATATAAGGATAAAAGCATTTGACATTCTTTTATTACGACTGTTTACCACCTACTTATCTTATTTGGGGTCTAAACTCCAAATCAGGATTTCCTAATGAGATTTTTTCATACTCAGACAGATAATGAAGGTTATAAATAATTAAAGTGCTAAAGCCTGCCTCTTTCGTCACAGCTTATCGTCTTCGAAACTCAATTTCCCAACAAATTCAATCTTTACACAAACACCTTGGAATCTATAGTAGGTACTTATGCATTTTTGAATACATAGAATTTCACTGAGGGGAACCAAAATCACAATTTGCACAGGGACTTTAATAAACATTGATCGGAACGCATTGCACTGATACACAACCAATTCATTGTTATGTTCGTCTGCCTGGATGAGCACTGGGCAGTGTAATGATGTGAAATTTAATGGGAATAATTCGTAATTTGACTCCTGTAGGACTGTGGAATTAATCTATCGGATTTTTGTATTAGTTTTTAGTATTAAAATTTCGCGATTACTTACTGTGTATTTTACGGATGCACCATCCTGTATAATTATGGAAATGTGCAACTTTTTGATTTACCCGACCATGCTACACAAAAAGAATTTGGGGGTCTGTTAACGACCATTTTGAATGTCTGGCTAAAGAAAGAATGCGCAAGAATCTCTATAGCTAGTGCCACTTTGACTTCATTTATCCCCATTATGGATGTTGCAAAAAAATCGTGTCATTCGGGGGGACTATGGTTAACGCTAGCGTCCCATTATACTTCAAATAGCAATCATCCAATTCATCCAATCTAGTAGGTACCACAACACTTTGGGTTCAGATCATTGGTAGAGCAAAATCTTCATTGATTCATTAATTTCGCCGCGGAAACTTTAAAATGAGTTGGCTTTATGCAAAATAACATAACAAAGAGACAGATCGACATCATCGAGATTTTGTTTGTTCCGGATTCCAGGGTTGGCAACTGATTTTAGCAAAAAAATAGAGACTTGGTCTCTATTTACATATTTAAAAATAGAGACCATTTAGAGACCTTCGAGAACCAATTTCCATACAAAATTAAGCAAAAAATATTTATTTTGTAATAGATGAGATACATAAACGGCAATATATCTAAACAAGTATAAATTGTGCACAACTCTTGTGCGGATAAATCGCATTTTTTTTAAACCAAATTTTTTTGACATCACCAATGGATATATTTCTTGCAGACGTCTCAATCGCCCTTTGTGAGTACCTCTTCCGACAATCCGTTCTCGAGGTATAAGGGAATATACCCGATCGCGATAAGAGGTCGAGGAGGAGGGCTATGGTTGGTAAAAAATTAATTCCTTTCGTTGAGACCTTTCATTAGAGAACCATGAAGGATAAAACTAGTTCCACCCCCCCCTCTTCCTCTCCGCCCCGTACTTTGATAAGAGGACAGAAAGAAGGGCAGTAGTTGGTAGAAAACGGTTCCTTTCGTTGAGACCTTTAATTAGAATACAATGAGAGATAAAATTAATTTTTAACCCCTCCCCCGCAGGCCCCGTCGTTCACTGAGTCGCACGGGAAAGTTATAGTTTGTACAAACCAATTTATTTCAATACCTTTCATTAGTATACCATGAAGGGTAGAACATGTGTTACCCCCCCCCCCCAAATTTTCTAAAGTTTAACTTGGCACCACTAAAGGAATGCGTATGCAAAATCTGAGACCAATTGATTGTCGTATGTAAAAGTTATACACGTTTTACTTTCAAAAACAGCATCTCAGGAACTAATTCGTGGGGGGGCCCCCCTTTTAGACAGAGAAATTTGATGGTCGTCTGACACACCTTCAAGCAAAAAATTCCAGGATTCTAGGACTATTCTTCTAGAAGTAGTTTCAAACGGCAGAAGTGGGTCCGGACGGACAAAACGCAAACAATAGCACATTTTTTTTAATTCTTAAAAAATGCGCTAAAAATGTATAGTAAAATTTCTGCGGTTTATCAATTACGAATTATACTTTTTTAACATGCAAAATTTAGAGACTTTAGAGACCAAATATGAAAAATAGAGACTTTTAGAGACCAGCATTGAAAAAAGAGACCAATGTTTAAAAAAGAGACCATTTGCGAACCCTGGGATTCCTGGTGCTTCAAAACGTGTATTCTCGTAAAGTGGGGAGTGATTTAGATTTTCCATTATGTTAATTCCATAGAGGAAATACAATATCATACCGAATGCCCAAATCATAACAGTAATCCTTTTACAATATGCAGTAGTAAATTTATCTAGGTACGTCAGGGACGGACCTAGACAAAAAAATTGGGGGGGCAGACATGACATTTTGCCAACTCAGCTGTAAAAATTTCCAACTCAAACGGAGTAGTATCTATTAAGTATTAAGTGGTATTTCCAAGTCTAATAAATCATGCAGAAAATGTAGGATATCAGTATACGGTCTCTAATACTCTAATTACCAAAATACCAACCTTGTGTTGAAGAAGAAGGAAGTGACTTTCCTATTAAAGAGTCCTTTTTTTTATAGATTTTGCCGCAATTCCTCGTTCCTTCAATAGTCAATTTATTACATTTACGATTTACCTATTTTCGCGGCATGCGCCAACTGGTAATGAAAATTACCAACTCTTGTCAAAATTACCAACTATAGACCATTCGCACCTTAGTATGCAGTATGGGGCTTATGGAGAAACAGTACATGCTTGCCAAACTTATTATAGGATCGATTACTGCACCGTAAAACGGTAGTTTAGACACTATTTATTACTTTTTAACCTAACCTCAGAAGTCAAAAAGGTAAATTAATAACAAGTTGTAATTGTTTGTCAAATGTGGCCGAGAACAGCTTGTATTTATTAAGTCCCCAAAAATTTACAAATGTACAGTATACATATTAGTCACTGGAATCGAATTGAAATTCATCGGAAGATGACTGCGACACTTGAATTATAAATTCTTCAACATCATCTTGAAGATAATCTGCTGCCCACATGCCATCTTCGATAGTTTTCACGTGATTGACATAATGTTGCCAATTTTGAACCGTAACTTGTGAATAACCCATTTTTATTAATTCTTCCATGTCCTTTATTTTAAATGTTTTGTTATTCATTTTGATATGATGTTTAACTTGAGCCCACACCATTTCAATGGGATTTAATTCACAATGGTATGGAGGTAAATGGAGAATCTCGTAACCTTTTTATTGTGCAATAACATCAAGCTTATTTTTGTCGTAGTGATGCCGAACATGCGCAACAGAAGCCAGTAGGTCTCGTTTTAATGGATTTTCTTCAATCGGTACATTTTTCTCACGAAGCCAATCTATAATGTGTTCTTTTCTCCACGACATTGTTGGTATCTTCTCCAACTTTCTACTGTGGTACGAGGCATTGTCAATAACAATGACTGAATTCGGTGGCACATTTGGTAGAAGCTGTTCAAAAAACCACTTTTCATAAGTGTCTGCATCCATTTCGTTGTGTGCATCAGCAGTGTTCTTTTTGCAGAGAAAAGTCAGTTCCGCGCCCGGAATAAAACCATTATCACCACCAGCATGTACTAACGCAAAGCGAGGCCCTAGACCAGTGGGTGATTTTAAACCTGTACTGAGTCCTTTGATGAATGCCTGACGATTGCTTTCAACGGTGGTGTCATGCCACGCCCTGCTCACCGAATGACCAATGTTAACCCATGACTCATCCGTATACACAATATTTTTACCTAAAATATAAATATTATGTAATTTGCAATTAAATATAATAAAAAGATTAAGCACCTTCTTCTCTCAACTTCCTGATGCGACGTAGGTATTTATGTCTCCATCGTATAATATCATCCCGTTCAATAAGGATACTCTTGCGGCCAACCTTCTTAAATTCAAAACCCATATCTTTCAAGAGATTGAATAATGTGGTGCGTTTAAAGTTGGGTAGATCGTTATCGTCATTTACGGAAGCTAAGATGCTGTTCATAGTTGGTGGAATATTTGTAATGAAGAAGTTATGCACTTTACGTCGAATAACTGATTGCACATTTTCATCATACACATGAAGACGATCATTGCTTTGTTTCCCTTTTCTTTGCTTGCGTTTTTTCGGGCTTGATACACCTTCGTTTCCGTCTTCCTTTTTAATGGCATAGATGCTCCGTTCAGAACAACATAAAGCTTTACTTGCTTCTTTCACAGCTGCAGTAACGTTCATCGTTCCCGAGAAATAGTTCAGCACGTTGATAATGAGGTGTTTCTCCTTCCGGCTAAAACACTCTCCTTTATGGCGTTTCACGTTAGCAGATCCTGCTTCAGCTTCGGCTTCCATTTAATGGGATATTCTAAAAAGATGAAATCAAATAACGGTTCTACAAGAACACTCAAAGTTACCTTGTATATAAAGTACGAGATGGAGGCGTTCTTAAAAGAACGATTTTTAAAGCAATGAGACAATAAAATGTGTTAAATACGAAAGACAAAAACGAACCACACACGTAATGACAATACAAGAAGATTTGACGTTATATTTTGTTTTAAAGCTTAAATTCAATCATATGTAAGTTTGGCATCATTGCGGTAAGGAATAAGGATAGCGTTATTGAAGAATGACGCAAATTAGTAAAGGAGGGATATAGTCCATAAGACCCCATACTGCATACTAAGGTGCGAATGCTCTATAGTTAAGTATTGGAGGGGCAGCCAGCCGCCCCATAGGTCCGTCGCTGAGGTGCGTAGCAAAGAATATTTAATGTCTTAATCTTTGCTACGTATAAAATTAAATTATGTACGAGTATGAAAATAACGAAGAGTTCAAAGGTCACTTTGCAAAATAATATTAAATAAAGATGCACGATGTTATGGCATATGGCAACATTGCATATGGGAACCTAACAAGGCATCGTCATCGAGGTTAATTAATTAATAATATTTCATGTGGTTGGCAACACATTTAACAGATAACTATTTCAACGAAACCTATTCCGTTGTACTACTTATTATTGGTACTACGTAGAACGTGGAATATTTAAGGTCCTTAGAATAAAATCTATTTGGTTTTCATCTATATTACATGAAAAACACAAAAACAATTCAAATAAAAAATTACAAGAATTATATAAAAACTAGCGTAGAATTTGCATCTCTTTGTACATCGCGAATACTGTTCATAGTCGAGTTGCATACTTTACCGAATTCAGTTTTAAGTTCGGTTAGGAAACTGCTGATGGTCTCCAAACTGACACTACTTTGAGCATACAGTTTACTGTTAACGGCTGAGCAACACGCCTGAATTTCCTCGCACGAGGCGTGAGGCTTGTTCGCGCATTGATGCACTCCAAAAGTGGCATTTTCCATGGACGTATAAAGGGCAATAAACCGCTGCTTAACGCTGCTATCAGCGCTTAGTATTTTCCTCGTATGGTCTATCGATATATCATCAAGACGATTCAGTAAGTCGCCAACGCGCTGTTGGTTAGAGTAAAGTCGTTCATCAAGTTGGTCACGAACAGCTTGGAGGAGTGTACCTTCCATACAATGTTGAGGCCTGTAGGGCGGATTTTCGAATAACTCGCCATGTGTCGGATCAATAATTTTCATACAATCGTCTCTTGCTTTTGTCGGTTCCTGGCACTGCGTACCGAAGGTACACTGTAAATGAAATTGTTGTAATTTGCAAAGAAAACTGATCAATAATTACGTGAACACTTAAAATGCCAATTAAAACTGCAAGAAATCGCATTATGATGTGGTTCCGAGTGTGGTTCAGATGGACTAACGCAATATAAGGATAAAAGCATTTGACATTCTTTTATTACGACTGTTTACCACCTACTTATCTTATTTGGGGTCTAAACTCCAAATCAGGATTTCCTAATGAGATTTTTTCATACTCAGACAGATAATGAAGGTTATAAATAATTAAAGTGCTAAAGCCTGCCTCTTTCGTCACAGCTTATCGTCTTCGAAACTCAATTTCCCAACAAATTCAATCTTTACACAAACACCTTGGAATCTATAGTAGGTAGGTACTTATGCATTTTTGAATACATAGAATTTCACTGAGGGAAACCAAAATCACAATTTGCACAGGGACTTTAATGAACAATGATCGGAACGCATTGCGCTGATACAGAACCTATTCATTGTTATGTCCGTCTGCCTGGATGAGCACTGGGCAGTGTAATGATGTGAAATTTAATGGGAATAATTCGTAATTTGACTCCTGTAGGACTGTGGAATTAATCTAAATTTCTATCAGTAGAGGGCCATAGTTTCGGATGTTTTTTGACATTCCCACCGATATTATTACATTCACCATTAGATTCTCACTTCATTTCATTAACAGAATCCGAACCAGAAAGGTGCCTTAAGTACCACGTTCCTGGTTAGAGTAGCGATTGTAGATCGCGCTCTGAAAATAATTTACCTGTCCCTCCATGACAGTAGAGTCAGTAGATAGGCCGGGCGCTAAAGGGTTTGAGCATGCACTGGAAGTCTAACGCAGTTTGACTTTTGATTATTGTTGGGAGCATATAGTAGATGCAAAAAATCGATGTCGTCGCATTTCCGCGGTGGGCATCACATGAGGGGGAGGGGGCAAAGTCGCGCGCGTGGCGATTCACTTTATCCTTTATAACTCAAAGACGGTAATAGTTGGAGCACTGCTTGAAGTGGCTATTTACAGCTACTTGTATTACCTACAAAAAAGGCCCTAAGGATAAAAGTCGTACCTCTAACTGTTTTGTTACAAATAAATTATTTTGGAATATATCTAAATCCGATCGAAAATCATATTTCATGCACATTTCTTATGTGTAAGATAAATTTAATAATGATGTTATTAGATAAATATATATAATTTTATACAGTCAATTTTACAATTTTCCAGCACGTACTTGGGCACCCAGTCACAAATCTTTCTCCCCTTCGCTCTCTTCGTCAGACAGTTTGTGCATTTATCAACACATTTGCAATAAAAGCAACAAAAAGAATTATTTGATAAACAGTTACATGTTTTTTTGGAACAGTTTTTGCATTTGCAGAGCTGAACTGTTTCGAGATTTGCATAACATCAATGCTGGCGAGCATTGCATGAGTACCATTTTTACCCTTTACGTTTATAAATTGTTCGGAATACGCCAGATGTAGATACATCAAAATTTGATGAATCATCACTCTGAAGATTACCAAAATTACTTCCCGATGGATATGCAGACATTTAATATTGGAACTAATTCGAGGGGACATTACCAAAACTGATACCATTATGTGAGAAGTAATTTCTGCATTATTTAAACATGTTTAGTGATCGGTCAATCTTTTGAATTATCCCAATTAAAATATGATGACTGTGGCGAGCGTGTGCCGGCTTGTTCCGTAGTGAGCCCTAGCGCCCATCGCATTGGCGAAACGTACCGGCCAATGACAGCACACGACGCGAGTCGGAATCCTTTATAAGCGGCGTTCCTGCGAGCAGAGAGCAGTGGCATCCGCGCTACGAGATCTTCAACAGCTCCAGCCGCCTTCAGCCGAACGCGACCTCGACTCCCGCTCCGTCTACAGCTGACCATTACTCCCCGATCGATCCGCCAGCTCAGACCCGCTGAAACCACGCTTCGCCTACGATCCGAGCCGCTTGTATATATTGTATATATTATTTGACAATAAAACCATTTGGTTTACGTGCCAAATAACTGGTGACCCCGTCGAAGAAACCTTCCAGCAAATCAAATCTGCACTTTTTAGTGCTGCTATTATAAGAAAAAGAACCGTACCTCTCTTCGCTCCTAGAGCCCGTAGCCAGCGAACCCGACGGCACGGCCAACGCGGAAGCCAATACCAGCATGCCTGATCCTCAAGTCCCAGTCGAAGGACCGACTGAGCATCTAGACCGTCCCATGTCAACCATCAACCGCGTGGCAGTCAAACCACCACCGTTTTGGAAGAGTGACCCCAGCCTGTGGTTCCGCCAACTCGAGGCGCAATTCCATATCTCCGGCATCACCGACGACACTACGCGTTTTTACACAGCTGTCGCAGCCATAGACACGCAGATTTTATCCCAGGTGTCAGACATCATCAACGATCCACCACCGACGGACAGGTATGCTACCCTTAAAAAACGTCTCACTGCGTGCTTCAGCGAGAGCGAGGAGCGACGCCTGCAGAAACTCCTGGGGGCCATGGAGTTAGGTGACCTCAAGCCGTCCCAACTCATGCTTCATCTCCGGAATCTAGGAGGTTCTCGCATCGGCAACGACATCCTTAAATCACTGTGGTTAGCACGACTCCCACAGCAACACCAGGCGATTCTCGCAGTCAGCACACAAGATCTCGATCAGCTGGTGTCCATGGCAGACAAATTACACGAGGTATACAACCAGTACAGCATTTCGGAAGTGTCCAGAAGCCAGTCCTCAGCGGCATCACCCGTCGATCTGGAAGCTACAGTCGCACAGCTTGCCTCCACGGTCAAGGATTTAGCAGCTACCGTAAGCACACTTCAGACGCAGGACAGAGTTAGATACAGGCAACGTACACGATCGCGTCCACGTACGCCCAATCACAACGCCGAATCCCGCCCAGAGCACTGCTGGTATCACCGCAAGTTCGGTTCCAGGGCCAAAAATTGTTATCAACCCTGCTCATACCAAGCCTCCAACTCGGAAAACTAATTCTTTCGTCGCCAGCAGCGGTACTGCGCGACGAGCCAAGAAACATCTGCCGCCTACTCGTCAAAGACTCCATATCAAACACACAGTTTCTGGTGGACACAGGAGCCGACGTATCAGTGTTTCCGGTTTCCAGTTCACGTCGCCGCCTTGGCCCGGATAAGTATAAGCTCTTCGCTGCCAACGGATCCGTTATTAACACCTACGGCACCCGGTTGCTGTCCCCAGACCTTGGCCTCCGCAGGAACTTCGTTTGGCAATTCATCCTGTGCGACATCAACCAACCGATTCTAGGCGCCGATTTCCTCCGCCAATTTAATTTATTGGTGGACATGAAAGGACGTAAGTTAATCGACGGCAATACGTTATTAAGTGTTAGTGCAATCGCGTCCGCGAATCCGGTACATTCAGTGCATTCTATCCACGACTCGGCGCCGTTTGCAGACCTCCTGAGGAAGTTTAAAGACGTGACAATACCACAAGTGCTTGTGAATAAAGTGACACATGGAGTTACACACCACATTACCACATCTGGACCACCAGTGTTCTCTAAACCACGACGCCTCTCCGGAAATCGACTTACCGCTGCTAGAGCCGAATTCGCCCACATGATCGAATTAGGAATCTGTCGACCATCGCAATCTCCATGGGCGAGTCCTCTCCATCTTGTCCCCAAGAAAGACGGTTCGTTACGACCTTGCGGAGATTACAGACAGTTGAACGCAGTGACCGTCCCGGACCGATATCCATTACCGCACATGCAGGACGTCTCTCAAATTCTGGATAAGTGTACCATCTTCTCGAAACTAGACCTCGTGCGCGCGTTTCACCAAATTCCGGTAGAACCTTCGGACATCGAAAAAACCGCGATCACAACCCCATTCGGGTTATTTGAATTCACGGTAATGACGTTCGGCCTTAGAAACGCAGCGCAGACGTTTCAACGATTAATCAATCAAGTACTTAAAGAGCTACCATATACTTTCGCGTACCTAGATGACGTCCTAATCGCATCACAGGATGAAGCTACACACAGAAGGCATCTGGAAACAGTTCTGCAAAGATTCCAAGAACACGGAATCACGATTAACGCAGCTAAGTGTGTGTTTGGCGCATCATCACTCACCTTCCTCGGAATCGATATCTCCAGCGAAGGTATCAAACCATCCGTCACCCGAGTACAAACTCTGAAGAACCTGCCTTTGCCCACCACCATCCAAGAACTTCGTAGAACGCTCGGAATGTTCAATTATTACCGTCGGTTTATCAAAAACGCAGCAGCATCTCAACACTTACTGAACAATTTGCTCAAAGGACCGAGCAAACGAAACGACAAACGAAAGATCGAGTGGACTGACGAGCATGTTGCAGCCTACGAACGTTGCAGAGACGATTTAGCCAACGCATGTTTGCTCGCTCACCCTAGGCACGACGATACCCCACTAATCTTATCAATCGATGCATCCGACGTAGCGATGGGAGCCGTACTCGAGCAAATCATGGAGACAAACACTCGTCCCCTAGATTTCTTCTCCAGAAAGCTGACGCCTACGGAAGCAAAGTACAGCACCTTTGACAGGGAATTACTCGCCGCGTACTCTGCAGTCAAATACTTCGCACACATCTTAGAGGGCCGTTCGTTCACGATTCTCACGGACCATCGGCCTTTGACATTCGCTGTAGTTAAGAAAAGCGACAGTGGAACAGCTCGACAGTGTCGCCAGCTAAGCTATATAGCCGAATTCACAACCGACGTTCGTCATATCGCGGGAAAGGACAACATTGTGGCTGACGCTCTCTCACGCATGCAATCCATCGATACTCCATTACCGACCATCGATTACGAAGACTTTTCTTGCCAACAACGATCAGACATCGAACTACACCCATACCTCAATCAGGCAAACAAGTTTTCTCCGCCAGGGTTCCCAGACGTCAATATTTTTTGTGACAAAGAGAAGAGACCTTATGTTCCGACCCCCTATCGGACGTTGATCTTCAAGAAAATCCACCATATGGCACATCCGAGCGCAAGGAAAACAACAAGTCTTATTTGCCAAAGGTTCGTGTGGCCCAAGATGAGATCCGACATCAAACTCTGGTGCCGCCAATGCCTAGATTGCCAACGTTCTAAGGTGCACCGCCACACCCTATCACCCCCAGGCCAATTTACAGTGGAATCTCTACGCTTCAACCATGTGCATTTGGACTTAGTTGGCCCGCTACCACCAAACCTCGGGTACACGTACGCGCTTACTCTCATTGATCGTTATACGGCATGGCCAGAGGTTATTCCCCTTTCCGATATCACCGCTGAATCGGTCGCCAGAAAATTCATAAGCGAATGGGTTGCAAGATTCGGAATTCCCGAAAAGATCACGACAGACAGAGGCCGACAATTCGAATCTACCCTGTTCGCGGAAATCAACAGGATGCTAGGTATCAAACACCTTCGTACTACGGCTTACCACCCACAAGCTAATGGTAAGGTGGAACGCTTGCATCGAACCCTGAAAGCAGCCATCAAGTGCTACAGAACAGAGCGTTGGGTAGAAGTGTTACCAATTATACTCCTCGGTCTTCGTTCAGCACCTGCAGACGACTCTGGTTTCGCACCTGCCGCCCTCGTCTTTGGCACCGCACTCCGCCTTCCAGGAGAATTATTCGCAGGCAGCTCACAACGCACCGATAGCGACACTACCGATTTCGCCCAGCAACTTCGATCACACTTCGAGCAGTTCCGGCCATCCCAAGCTAGACTACACGGGCAACCCAAAATCTTCGTCCATCCGGAGCTACATTCTTGCTCTCACGTCTTCGTACGAAAAGAAGGCTTATTAAAATCGCTCCAACCGTTTTACGAGGGGCCATTTGCTGTTATCTCAAGACACGAGAAATTTTTCCATGTTGACCAAAACGGCCGCAAGGACAAAGTATCCATAGACCGCCTCAAGCCAGCATTTACTTCTAACAACGACGTGCAGCCTACATCACCTCATCATACACCCACGCCACCTCATAAACCTTCAGCTCCTCCAGAATCCCCGGCTGCGCCTCATCAAACAACGACGACTAAATCCGGACGACGCATCAGATTTCCTGGCAAGTTTGCCAATTTTCATACCGCTGCACTGGAGGGGGAGTAGTGTGGCGAGCGTGTGCCGGCTTGTTCCGTAGTGAGCCCTAGCGCCCATCGCATTGGCGAAACGTACCGGCCAATGACAGCACACGACGCGAGTCGGAATCCTTTATAAGCGGCGTTCCTGCGAGCAGAGAGCAGTGGCATCCGCGCTTCGAGATCTTCAACAGCTCCAGCCGCCTACAGCCGAACGCGACCTCGACTCCCGCTACGTCTACAGCTGACCATTACTCCCCGATCGATCCGCCAGCTCAGACCCGCTGAAACCACGCTTCGCCTACGATCCGAGCCGCTTGTATATATTGTATATATTATTTGACAATAAAACCATTTGGTTTACGTGCCAAAATGACAATACTTATGTACTTTTATAATTACTCTTATAACATATAAACAACACTATTACACTATTAACATTGTCTTACAGATTCAAGAAATATGTGGCAAATATGATTTTCAGTGGATTTGGATATACCTATTCCGAAATAATTTATTTGTAACGAAACGATTAGAAGTACGACTTTTATTCTTAGGACATTTTTTGTAGCCAATATAAGTAGCTGTAAATAGCCGCTTCAAGTATTGCTCTAACGATTACCGTCTTTGAGTTAGAAGCGATAAAGTGAATCGCCACGCGCGCGACTTTGCCCCCTCCCCCTCATGTTATGCCCATCGCGGAAATGCGACGACATCGATATTTTTCATCTACTATATGCCCCCAACAATAATCAAAAGTCAAACTGCGTTAGACTTCCAGTGCATGTTCAATACCTATATTAGCGCCTGGACTAAGAGGTGTCGGTTGTAATACCGCGCTCTCCTCAGTTACCTTCCGTAAATTAAGGGTGTCCTCACTATTAATTAAGTTTACCTGTTTTGAAATTGCGGTAGACGCTTGCTCACCATGAACGATCACTCCTGTAATATACTTTACCTGAAACCGTCAAGAAAATCTAAATTTCAGGGCTATTTTGACATAAGAAAGTGGATCTTTACCTGACTAGTACTGTAATATTTTTGTTCAATCCTGTCATTGAAAACAAGTGTTTCTTACTTAGATACCAAATGTGAAAGTGTTTGTTTTACCCATTCAAACTATTTCCATAGCAACGGGTGAGCGAAAAGAGTGAGTGAAAAATTTTCACCCACTCATAATACACATACGCTGAACTTTTATTTATTCATAATTCATCACTAATAGATACAAAGCAACAAAATTACTTATAAATATGAAAATTAACATTACAATTGTTAAAAATTGGTTGATTGATACCAGGGACTTGAACTTTTCCACTTCCACTTCTCTTTGATCAAATGTCTTCGCTTTTTTAGGTTGATAACCCTTTAGAATTACTTTTTAGAATCGCGAACAAGGTTTTAAACCTAAAACATTTCATATATTACAACCAGTAAATTAATAATGAACTAAAACTTACTTGCTTTCTCAAAAACAAATAGGGTGCATTTAAGCATCGACAATATAGACCATAAAGAAGGGGCAGCGTATTTTTGTATCAATCCATTGAAATAAGCAACCACTACTTCTTCAATTACAACATTTACGTTTCTGTTCTCCATCCACGACCGAAATTTTTCCAACTCCTTGATGTATCTGTCTGGATTTCTTCGGTAATAAATTAAATGTCGCTGCATTCGCTTCTTCCAAAATGTTATCTGGCACAAATACACTATTTTCATCTTCCATTTTCTTGGAAATCTAAACGCGCACACTTTTGCTACAATTATAATTTGTTGACAGATTGTGTCAATTGTTTTACGCAGATCTCATGGGAACCATAACAACGAAAACTACCTACTATGTTTTTTTCAGATGCTTAAAAAATAACTATTACACTTGTTTCTTTTTAAATTTTTATTAGTAACAGGATTGAACAAAACGCTATACAGCACTCGTGGAAAACTAAATCACTCACTTGTGTGTCGTTCCACACTCGGCTACGCCTCGTGTGTAATCTCGACACACGCGTGAGTGAAACTTTTAGTTTCTCCACTTGTACTGTAATATACTATGCCTGACTCCCATTACAGTCCTAGTACTTACATGCAAAATACCAATTAGATCGTTCATTGAATAAGTTATTCAATCAACGATTGGATAATTATAATGCAGACAATGTGGATATTTTTATTAATATACCTACACAAAGGATAATGGTTTTTTAATTACTAACAATTAATGGAATATGTGTAGAAGTAATTATTCCTTTAGTTTTGCGCCAATCATTAAAAGGTTT